ACATTATTTCTCTATGCCCAAAATATGATGATCCATGAGGAGAAAGAGTGAGTTGTCTGACGGACCAATAGGTACAAGAGAAAATGATGGAAAGTCACGCAGCTCGCGATAAGGATTGTGGATTTTATCTTACATGTGACGGGGAGTCATGGAAGCAGTTTAAGCATGGTAATTATGATATCAGATTTTCTGATTTACAAATACTATCCTGGCACTCCCGGGAGAAGGCTGGTGGGCGACAGGGCAACAAAACATGAAGAAGGAGGTGAGAAACGATCAGGGTGAACTAATAACCTGATGGCAGGTGACGATACAGGAGGACTCCCAGGAAGACTAGGTTTCTCAGCTGCCTTACTCATTGATCCGGCAGCATTTACTGAAAGGGGAAGTCAGGAACAGGACAGGTCCAGGGTAGAGTTCTACTGAGATACACTGTGCAGTGTGCATAGGACATGTGGGCACTCATGCCTGAAAGTCACTGAGAAATTAAGATCAGGACCCCAAAAATAAAAACCAGCCACAGATAAGCAAAGGGCATAATTACATTACTAATAATTCATTACTGGGTTCTATTTTTCCTATATGGAGGCATTTCTTAATTACTTTGCATTCTGTTACTTACATGGCACTAAGTCCACAACGATTATTATGTGAGCCAAACTAGAGAAATAGCTAAATATAATTTAACTGAAAATTTGTTATACTTTCAGATTCCAACTGAGAAGTTCTGCACAGCCCCATGTTTCCAGGTTCAAAGCCCTGTTTTGTTCACAGGCTCACCCTGCCGGCAGTCTCCTGAGTGAGGCAGGTGTTAACAGGTGCTCTGGCTTCTACAGCAGCCCCTCAGGGCCTCTTACAACTTCCCACTGAAACAGCAGTGAACTTTTGCCGTCTGCCTCCCCATCGTGTTCCTTCTGTTCTTTCAGAAACAGTTCTACAGGTTGGTTTGCGGGTCCCTGCTCTACTTGGCTCAAGGCTGAAGTGGAAGACCAGTTTGAACTAGAGCAGGTGATTCAGATTGATGCTAATCACTTCTCTAGCCATAGAGACGTGATGGGAACACAACGATGGGAACACAGGTTCAAGGTGTCTCGGCGGGAAACTCAGGGCTTTGATAAGAACTGCTGGAAAAAGAGGCTCTATTTTACATCCACTTAAGCCATAGTCACTCTGAAATCTGAGCTCGTGCAACCATCTTGCTATCCTGAGAAGATACCACGAATTGCCAGGGGATCCTACCTAGTTTGAGAAAGCACCAGCACGGTAGAGAGGGGCTGAGTCACAATGATAGTAATTGAGCATTGAAGTTAGCTATGATACTTGCACTCTAACTAACTCTAGACTTTTTATTTATATGAAGAGTAATACACATCGTATTTTCTGTTGCTGGAACCAGAACTGGCCCCGTAAGATCATGGAAAACATGCAGGCACACACATGCGTACACACAAACTTTCCTAGTAGCACTCAAAACACAGTCTCAGCATCATTCTTGTGAGGAATCCCCACTAAATACATAGGTTCTTTCATTGCTGTCTTGGGTCTTAGTGTTCTAGTGGATCATCCACAACATTGTTAGAAATTTTAAAAGGCTTTCTCCCAAGAAGTATGTATAAATTTACATCATCACCGCCTCACTAGCTGTCCCCGTTTAAAACAACACCATCTATGTCAATCAGAAAAATTCCACTATGTCGTGGGAGATACAGTGCTGCCGTTGTCATTCCCTTCAGGCACCTCTTCTCTGTCCTGTCCACTCAATTCATGATTTTTACATATACGTCCTCAGTGACTACAGAAAGACTCAGTGAGGGGCTCCTGGGTGGCTCAGTCGGTTGACATCTCACTATTGATTTCAGTTCAGTCATGATCCCAGGGTTGTGAGATTGAGCCCCGCACTGGGCTCCAGGCTGGGCGTGCAGCCTGCTTAAGATTCTCTCTCCCTCCCCACCTCTGCCCCTCCCCCACTCGTGCTCACTCTCAAAAATTAAAGTAAAAATAGGGGCGCCTGGGTGGCGCGGTCAGTTGAGCGTCCGACTTCGACCAGGTCACGATCTCACAGTCCGTGAGTTCGAGCCCCACGTCGGGCTCTGGGCTGATGGCTCAGAGCCTGGAGCCTGTTTCCGATTCTGTGTCTCCCTCTCTCTCTGCCCCTCGCCCGTTCATGCTCTGTCTCTCTCTGTCCCAAAAATAAATAAACGTTGAAAAAAAAAATTAAAAAAAAATTATAAAGTAAAAATAAATGAAAACTCAGCAACTAGAAAAAAATGGGACAAATGAGAGATAAGACAGAATAGTGTACTCAAAGAAGTATAACTCTTTAGTGATATAATACAAAGGAAGGAAAAAGCAACAAGGTACTTGTATTTTTTATGTATTTTCTCCAACCATTTGGCCAAGGTAGAGGGGAGAAAATTCTATCTCAGCACAACAGAACCATACTCGGTAATGAAACGCATGACAGATGATGGCAATTAGGCCCGGATATTGGCAAACATTTTTATCGATCTTGAGATTTTTATACTGATCAGATAGTGATGTAACTGATACATTGTCCCAGAACACAGCATTTGAGCCCTGCAGGCAGCAATCTGCATATTGTCTTTGGATGTCCTTTATGAGTCTCCTCCCATTCCAGAATGAGAATGAAGATATTAGATACCACCAGCTATGGTCAAAAGGCTGTGGGATGAGATAGTCAAAACAATAATCCTGAAGAAAATAAAAAGCAACAGAAGATCCATACCAAAGAGCAATAAAAGGCACAATTCAAACTGGAAAAATAAAACAAAACAAAACAAAAAAAACAAACCCCAAAATCTATTAGTGATTTCAGAAAACAAGCAAAAAAAAAAATTCAAAAACATTGTGGGAAAACAAAAAGATTTTTTTTTAATTAGAGACGAAATGAAATATACGGTGTACAGGGGATGAAACCCCAACCTACATATTATAAACATGTTTAGAGAAAACAGAAGCACAAGTAACAGAAATAAAAGCAACAACCCAAGAAGTAGCCAAAATAACATTATCTGGGCTGAAAAAGACCCTGATTAGGACCCTGAAAGTAGTCCTCGTTTCAAGCAAAATATGTATTACGGCAAAGTCAGGGCACTTCATTTATTTTTTTGTACGACCCTATGAGCATGTAAGTAGAATTTTTTTAAATGTTATGTACAAGTGCGGAAAATGCAGATTAACACATCTCACCACCGCACCAAATTCCAAAAATCAGCAGTACAATAACTATGTTAAATTCAGCCACTGTGATCTCACTATTCTATAAATGGACAAAATATAATTCATGTGTGAAGGGAAAATGAACCAACAGAAACGCACTGTCATACACACAAGGGTTTAGAAGGCAATTTATCCATGAAAAATTCATCTGAAAATTACTTGAATAAAAATTAGAGGCTTTTGGAGAGAGGCAAACCATAAAATGGATCCAACTGCAAAGAACAAACTGAGGGGGGCTGGAGAGGAGGTGAGTGGGTGGGGGATGGTGTTAATGGGTGATGGGCCGTAAGGGGGGCACTCGTTGGGATGAGCACTGCTGTATTTAAGTGACGCGTCACTACATTCTACACCTGAAACCAGTATTACATAGTATGTTAACTAACTGAAATTTAAATGAAAACATCAAACTAAAAAAATAAAGTCTAGCTTGTCTGATATTTAAAAAAAAATTTAAAGGCTTTTAAAAAATTAAAACAACTCAAATATGGACGTTCATGCAATTTTAAAAATATATTAAGCAAATAAATCTGAATATTTAAGTTCAATGGTTACAAAAATTCATATATCAAGAGTAATTACTGAAAGAGAAGACCAGAGAAGAGTTAGAAAAATCTGAACATCTTGGTTTTCCCAAGTACTGAAGTTTTGGAAAAGAAGGAAACAAAGTATACTAAATTTCTCATTTCACAAAGGTAATCAATAGACACAATTTGTGTCTTGATATTTAGGGAGAAATTAACTCAAAGTATTTTTATAACTTAAAAATCATCATGAAATATTAAATTTTGTTATTTTTATGTTAAAATAGACTATAAGTTCAAAGAAAATAATCAGACAAAAACGTATAAACATATATATAACATCTTAATATGCAAACACTGGTACCCAGCAGGTTTGAGAAACAGTAAGAAAAATTAATAAAAGGGACTGAAAGTGTATTCAAAGGTCAGAGATATATCAGGATGCAGATATTCAAGGTAGTTTTGTTTAACTCACCTTTATACTCCCTAGAATTTTGCAAATTTTCTTAACTGCATTGATTATATTAATAAAAAAACAACAACATAAAAACACCTTGCTGAAAATCAGTGTTTAAAATTTTAATACAGGGGCATCCGGGTGGTTCAGTCTGTTGAGCATATGACTCTTGATTTTGGCCCAGGTCACAAACTCATGGTTCATGGGTTTGAGCCCTGCACCAGGCTCTGTACTGACAGTGCAGAAACCTGCTTGGGATTCTCTCTCTCTCTCTGCCTCTCCCCAGCTCGAGTGCTCGCTGTCTCTCTCTCTCTCAACATAAATAAACAAACTTTAAGAATAAATAAGTAAACATTTTAATACATTATAGAGTTATGCAAAGATATTTTTATAATCATATATCAATATGTGCTTATTCGAAAACATGTAGAAACTGCCCAAAAATGGGAAGGATTTTTTTTTTTAATCGGCCACTGGCCCGATTTGAGATCTTTCTCCTCTGTCTAGTATCCATAATTCTAAATGACCGCTATTCTCACTGATAGGTAGAGCCACGGATTATCAAGGACGAATGAAATTTTAAAAGACCTCTAAATCATCTCAGAGTGTGTGTCTCAGATCTCCTGCATCAGAATTAACTGAGAAACTTGCAAAAACATGCAGATTCCTGGATCACACCCCAAAGCTAGTGGATCAAAATCTTCGGGTAAAGCCTGGAAACTTGCTTTTTAACATTACTACCAGATGACTTATATGCACAGTAAAGGTGGAGAACTACTTACTTAGTTTAATGGCGCAAAGATAATTTAGCCGAAAAGCTGCCTCTGGTGTCTTGTACTGATCAAGATTCATCTCTCAAATTTCTATCATTCCTAGGTTTACCTTTCATGTGCTTGGCGGGGCAGTTTATCCAAGCATGCCCGACATATGTCAAATCATGATGTTCTTAAAAGCTTACACGGTAAAATAGGTCACAACAAGCACAGTGTTAACCTGCATTAAAATCCTGGATTAGGTAGCAAATAGAAAAGACCAAGGTCATTATGGTAGTTCTGGTTTGCACGCAAAATGACCACTACGCCAGTACGAATTCCAATCTGATCAGTAATACACAGGAATTACAAGTAAGATCAAGACACGGATTCAAAGACGCAGCCTAAGTGAATGGAGTTATTCTATCACCCGCCTACATACTTATTTTATCACCCATCTGCATATTTATTTTTATACTTTCCCACATTTTATCCAGCAAAAGGAAAATTCCATGAATTATGGAATTACATCTCTCTAGGTGCTTGGAGGATTACAGAATCTCCTGAGCGGCAATGTGGGGCAATTTTTAATTTGACTGAAGTAATCCGCTTTTCTGAAACAACACGATCATTTATATACCTTCAGTGTGACCATTCTGAGTCAGCTGAAGAAAAGTAGAGGAGTGAAATCATATGTTTTCATCCACAAACTAGTAAGTTTGAAGTCAATATTCCACTGAGAGAGACATTTGATATAAACATGTATTTATCATAAAAAAAAAGGATTATTTCCATATAGGGTATGGCAAGAATGTGTAACCTTAGTTCTATAAACAGGATCATTCCTGCTGAAGAAAGACTTGAGAAGCTATACCATGAATCATTCTGTAAACCTGAGGATCCCCGCCCCCTTCTAATTAATCTGTCCTGTGGGTTGGATTATTCATATGAGTTTTTAAGGTAGGGTGGCCTTTATCTGTCTGTGAAAATCATGATTCCCATTTGGCAGAAGCTGTTACTCGGACTGGCATTTTCTTGTTCTAGACAAGGTGTAGTTAGAAAATTATTTTGATGGAGCACCCGGGTGGCTCAGTCAGTTAAGCTTCCGACTGTTGATTTCAGCTCAGATCATGATCTCACAATTCCTGAGACGGAGCCCCACATTGGGCTCCAAGCTGACAGGGCAGAGTCTGCTGGGGATTATCTTTCCTTCTCTCTCTGTCCCACCCCCACTCATGCGCTCACATGTGCATGCTCTCTCTCAAAATAAATAAATAAATAAATATATTTTGGCAAGTCAATTTAGAAAAACCAGCAAAGGAAATCCAACGGTTTTAAGGCTTAAAGCTTTAAAATGAAAAGAAATAGTCCGTATAATGTCACTAAATCCAAAAATGTCTTCAACGTATGCATGCCTGAGTTGCATTGATAGAAGGCCTGAGATGAATCCTAAAGTTTGAGGAGTGAAGGGTTGTATAGGCTAAGGCAGGGCCAATGCAGATCAGGTAAATTGTTAATCTACTTAGTAGCCCGTCTGTCAAAAATGATGCCCCTGGCCAACATAAAATTCCCCTTAAAGATGGATAGTGAAGGTGATACATTATGTCCAAAAAGATACTATCCCATGTTTATGAAATGTAGCCACTATTGTATTTTCAGGTGGATTCATTTACTTAGCAGTTCCTGGTGCTCCCAAGTAAAGTTTCAAAAGGGGAAGCATACATGGCCATTAGCAGCTCATGAGGGGACTGGGTCCAAAGGCATAACGCACCTTATATCAATCAGTACTTCCCAAACTCTACTTGGTTAAGAATCACTTGAGGCTTATTAAAACACAGATTCTGGTTTGCTAGGGGTGTGGCCTGAGGATGTGCATTTCCATCCAGCTCCAAGGAGATGCAGTTGCTGCTGGTGCAAGGCACACCTGGACTAACACTGCTCTAGACGGCTCTGGTATCAAAGTGGCACGAGGTCTAGAAAATAAACATCTAACTTCAAACTGTTGCCCAATGGTAACCACCATCCAGGCTGCACATGTGACTTCTGAAAGCTTCTTAGTTCTAGTCTTAACACCCAATTGTAGGTGTGACGGCTCTGTACACTTATGTACCACTGAGATTCATTAGGATAAAGAATTTCTAAGGTAACTGGATGCCAAAAAATCACAAAGGACTTTACAGCAAAACTCAACTTGTATTGACGAGAAAATTAAAAAATGGCACAAACTGTGGGAAAACACTTTTTAACCAGTATTTTAAGTAAACTTTCTAGGAGACCAAACCCACGTACGATGTTCATTTTGTACAGTTATTATTTTAACAATATAGAATAAATATAAGCCATCTAAATCCTTGACTACTCAAACTTTTGAATTAGTCATTTGAAAACATACAATGGAAGAGAAAATGGTGCTGGTGATCACCTCTTGCACAGATTCACTCTGAGCAACACACCATTGTGTGTGTTGTGATCTCGTCCAGAGTAAGTGTTAGATTAACTGGTCTCTAAGGACCCTTCTGGGCACAATTCTCAAATGAACCCTTCAAAACCATTACCATGTTTACCTTAGAAATAAAATGTTGCTCAACTCTTCATTAAAACTCATTCATAATGTTTTATTTCAAAGGACCAAGCTTAAATAGTACCTATTTCATATTAACCCACCATCCAATTCTCAAGGCTCCAGGTGGGGCTGTTATATATTGGAAAATGAAGGTTTTCCTACAGCACATCAACACGAGTGCTGGGTGTGATGAGAGTTATCTTCCACTTTCCAATTTGAGAGTAATTGTGTGTGTGTGTGTGTGTGTGTGTGTGTGTGTGTGTGTGTGGTAAGAAACCGAACTTATCACACATAATTGCAAATGAGGATGCCGGGGATACTGGTTGATGCTCACAACCTAACGTGTCAACACTGTGGAAGATAATGACGAACCTAAGAACAAGGAAAACTACTGAACTCCTCTCCTGGGAGTTCTCAATGTCTGAGCATTCGGATCTACGAACCAAGTGTTGAATGTTGTGACATCCCCACCAAAGCATGAAAAATCATTTCCTACATCTTTTGATAGTTTTCCTGAACATGACAACTGCCAGTCATCCCTATAATAGCAAATAACAGTGACAAATTATCTCCCATATGATCTTAGTGTAGATTTATATGACTTACTGTTGTTACTATAGATAGATAATTAAAATGCACAATTCCAGAGTTTTAGGAGGTCATCAGGCTAGAAAATCACACTTTGGAAGTACATGTAAAGTAATAAAAAGTAAGACTTCTGTCATTGTTTTTTTAAATTATCTCACTCAAGTAGCCGATAATGTCACATCTGGATCACAAGTGCCACCAACGGCTTCAATTGCAGGTTCCCCCCCCCCTTTTTTTTTTTTTACAAAGTCTAGCCTATTTCAAATGTTTGAATTTCTCTCCAGTTATATACAGATATCTATATGAAATATAGATATTTTTTCTAGGCATTGAAATCAAGTAACAACAATCTGAACCCTCTATCCTAATGTTTTACCACCAGAACTTTTGAAATCCTTCTAATCAATCATGACGGGATTATTTTCTTTAGCTATACGAAGGCATAGGTCAAAGCTGGTCATTTTACATTTCCCTACCAATATTTGTAACCAAAGTCACAAATCCTTCTTGAACATTTTAAGTAACCTCAGGTAAGACACAAGATTTTCCTTTGGGTTTTGTTTCTGTATAGAGTAAATTCTTTGGGGAATTTCTGAAATTCTCTTTAGGCATCCACATCTCATTTCTTGCTCACAAATCTCCAGGAATAGTGTCATCAACAGTGAGAGAATAATTACCATGTAATTATCACAGAACACAGCAGGTCTTGGATGTTGAAAAGTGCCAAGCAATTCTTAGTTTCATGTATCTTTCTGATACAAAAGAAGTCAGAGTTAATAAGAAACTCCTCCCCAATTCCTAACATGACTTTTATGGATTAAAATACTCTCAGTAAAATACTCTGTTCCTGAAAACACACTAAAAGCTGTATGCCTTCACTCTAATATTTCAATCTGCTAAATGGAGTAGACATATAAAAGATAAAATGACAGAACTCATCAATTGCACAAAGTTGTATATACCTCATTATACCATGAAGAGCTGAGTAAACTGCTTATTTAGTCATCTGATAAACTTAGCTTTCTGGCATGTATTAGATTTCAAATACACTCTAGAATATAGGAAGGAAATGTAAATCCTTCGCCATTGTTTGAATTTCACCTTAGTCTTCATTACAGAGTTCAGGCAAACAAAATTAGGTAATCTGGAGAATCTGAACAAATTTTATGGATCGTGATAATCTAATCACTTATGTTGGACTTCTAGGATCTATCAGGGTGAAAAAACCAAAACTATAGCTGTTCCTAATCTTCTCTGAGTGATTTCAAAACCGCCACTGGCTTCTCCAAGCCCAGGCTGAGGGTATACCTACAGGCAAGAGAGAACAACAAAAACATTCTAGCCCTCACAGTCCCTCTACTGGGAGAAGATTTAAAAACATTTTTTTTTCCAGGGGTGCCGGGGCGGCTCAGTCGGTTAAGCGTCCAACTTTGGCTCAGGTCATGATCTCACAGTTCATGTGCTGAGCCCCACGTCTGTGCTGACAGCTCAGAGCCTGGAGCCTGCCTCAGATTCTGTCTCCCTCTCTCTCTACCCCTTCCCCCCTCATGTTCTGCCTCTCTCTCTCTCAAAAATAAACAGACGTTTAAAAGTTTTTTCAACATTTTTTTCCAAAGTTAAATTTGTGATAAATTCATTACTATGCTAAATTACTATGCTAAACTACTAAGCTAAATTCATTACTATGTAATGAATAAGAGTCAAAAAATTTTAGGACACCAATATTAGGAATAACAAATAAAAAGAATGAAGAACTTTTAAACTTTCCAGTAAATATATTTGCTTTTCCCCCCCAGAGATACCCACAGTTCTTTATGTATTTCTATAAATATTAACGCAGGAGAAATTCAGATCAATATAAATAATAATATTCAATTAGCCATTTTAATATAAAGCTTAAAGACCTCACTTAAGAAAATATGATTTTTTATATTGCATATAAAAAATAAATACAGTGCCCATTATATTTTGGGCTGTTAAGGAAGGAAGGAAGGGAGGAAAGAAGGAGTTTTTTCTTTCCACGCATGCCCTTTGAAATAGGCCCCTGGTTTATTCCAATTGAGAAGACTTCCCAAAAACTCAATGTAATGACCTAAAACTAGCATTTGTAACATTAATCTCTAATCCACTAATGTTTCCCCAAACTTTGAGTTAATGGACCATTTTTCATGGTCACTTAATTACTGTTTCAATGCTAGATCACAGAACAGTGAAAGACTGTCAGATTTCCTCCTTCACACAGGTAAGACACAACTATGCCCATCTCCTTGCACACCTAGGCCAGTGAGGCAGAATCCCAAAAGGATGGAACAGGGTGCTTTTTCCCCAGGGGCTGCGTCACCAGAGGCCCCGCACCGGCTCCTCTATAGCACAGCAGTGCAAATACCCAACACCTGCGGTGTTCTAGCATAATCACCTGGAGATTATTCTCTCACTGGGGAGATTATTATTCCCGGAGATCTGTGAGCAAGAGATACAGACACCTAAAGAGAATTTTAGAAATTCCCCCCCAAAGAATTCACGCTATAAAGAAAACGCAGAGGAAAACCTTTTTCTTACCTGAGGTTCCTTAAAATGTTCAAGAAGGACTTGTAACTTTGGTTATAAAAATTGGTAGGGAGGGGAACCTGGGTGGCTCAGC